GTACAATCATTAAGGCTGGAAAAGACCCTAAGATCATCTATTCCAATCTGATGTTGGGTTGATGGAATGTAGCCATGAAAGAATTGATGTCACTGAGGCCATTCTTGATTACCTTTAAAAGTATCTGGTGCTTGGTTAAAAGTTCCTGTGAACTGGGAAAAAAGCATATATGATCCCTGTTTTCAAGCAGATCAGAAAGTATGATTAAAGAAAACTACAGGCTGGTCGGTCTTCATCTACCCTTTGGAAGATAATTGTGGAAATTGTTCTGGAAACCATCATCAAACACATGAAATACAAGTTGATTACAAGTAGTCAGCATGCCTGTATCAAGGGAAAGTTGTGCTTTGCTAACTATTCACGCTTTCTATTGTGAGATGACTGAGACAGTAAATAAGGACAGAGCAGTGGGGATGTCTATTTTTAACAAATATTTTTTTACAATTTCCCATAACATCAATTGCTGATGAACTGGGGGCTGGATAATTGAGTGAAATATACTAGAAGCAGTCAACTGCCAGGCTCAAAAGGTGGTATTCAGCTGTGCAAATACAAGCTGCTGGTCAACCAGTTATAGCAAAGTCATACAGTCAAACATATCTGATTTAAAAATAATAATAATAATAGTATTGGCAATGGAACAATGTGCATGCTCACATGCAAGCTTAGAGAAGATCCAAAATGGGGAACAATGGTTGATACATGAAACAATGACTCTGAATAGAAACAACTGACAGGCTAGAGGAACAGGTGAAGAGCACCCTCATTACATCTAGCAAAGGGAATTTCTTCCTAGTGTATCTGAGGAGGAAAATTCTCGTGTACCCATTACAAGCTGGGACCTGACTTAACAAAAGCAGATTAGTAGTTCTTGAGCATGTACTGAATCATTTTGCAGTTTGATAAACTACTGATAATCACATTAGATTATGTATGGTGTTTTGAAATCCTTTCTGCAGCTGCCTGTTGTTGAATCTGCCTAAGAACAGTGTATTTAACTGTTCTCTGAGGTGTCCTGGTGGCATTTTGTTTGGCATACAGCACTAGTGTATGAAGTTTGAAATCTGATCCTGCGGATTAACTTCAGACTTATCTGGAACTTGCACAGAAACTTGCAACATAAATACTAGAGTTGTTCTGAATGAAGTGGGAATAGAAGTGTGTGTGGGCATGTGGAAACATGAGCTTGTCGTTCAGACAAACTCCAGTCGTAATGAAACTCCTTAAGACCAATGTGGTGTTAAGAAGCAGGCATTCTTTACTGCATCACAGGATGCCTGGGGATCCTTCCACCTAAAGCACATACATCGCACTGAAGATCTTCAGCTTAAATACGTTACTTGTGTTACATATTGATGCAAGTTGTAACAATATTGTGAAGCTTGTTAGTGTTTGTTGATGGATACCCCTGCCCTGCAGTTCATGTAGATAACAAAGGATTGTGTTTCTGAACCAGAGAGATAAGGAAGATTGGCTGAATTCTTGTACCAAGGAAATAGGAGATCCTGTTTGAAATCAGTCACTGCATGTGAAACATACCTCTGGGAAACTTCTGCATGTGTGACACAAGTAATGTATACAAGCTGAAGATCTTTTGTGTAAGCTATGTATGATTGATAGGAGGATAACCTCTGTGCATCCAGTGCTGATTGAAGAATGTCTGCTTTCTAACACTCCAGCTTGAGTCTTAGAGAGTTTCCTGATTGACCAAAGTTTTTCCAGGCAGTACATACGTATTCAATACTTCCTTCAAAATTGTTACCATCGGATTCTGCCTCCTTGCATATACTCAGTGTTTTTGTGGTAGTTGTCTTCCTCACCATGTCTGCTAGTTGAACTTGGCTTTCATACACACTCAGTTAGATTCTTGCCATGATTGCATGATACTTGCATATCTAGCTGATTCAAAGTAGAACTTCCCTTATCTGCTCGATGCAAGGAGTTCAGTATACCAACATTATCTACTAGGTACAAAAACACAGACTCTTTCTGTTGTATAAGCAAACTACAGGTCTATCTGTCAGCAGGACTTAGCAAGCTTAACAATATCATTACAACTTGCATCAGTGCAAGGTAAAAGTGAGAACCCCCCTGCCTTTTTTGAAAGACCTTGTGAAAGAGCAAGGAAGTACACAGATTTGGATCCTGAGGATGGGGCTATGGAAAAGTGCATTGTTTGCTCCCAGCCAGCAAAAGGTGCAAAAGACCTTGTCCTCGGGGCTGATAACAAAGTTACACCAGAGACTGTTAACAACCACCATTCAGACAGGGTGTTCAGATTCCTGATAACAGGCAGCTAGCTCAATAGATCCAATTCTAAGTTGTAGGACTGAGTCAACCATCTTACCTCATAAATAGCAGGCAGTTGAAAGAACCCTGTGGAGAGTTCTTGCAAGCAGCTGGTGGCACAACAGGATCTTCACTGAAGTAGGGGCACCTCTCAAAGTCACTTAATGTCTGTGTGGAGATTCACCCAAGATGTGCTGATGCCTTGCCATCAGTTCCATGGTAAGTGATTTATTTTTTTTTTAGGCTATACTATCTTCTCTAAGATTTGGTCTTAGATTCATTATGCATCCCCCGTCCTCCATGTAGCAAACATTTTAAGATATCTAGCCATTTTGAATCTTGTTAAATCACTGTCATCATTCAAATTACCGTATCTCTATTTATATAAATCTTTTACCTTCTTGTGAGAGAAGTGTGCAGTGCTTTAGTCTCCGTCCATGACAGGACAAGTGTCTTCTACTGCTTTGTTCATGGAGCAGTTGGTTACAGACATGAAGAAAACTGCAAAAAATAGATGGCATTTCTGGAATGTCAATATATCTGTTAATATAGCTGCCTATAATGACTATTATGGGGAAGGATTTATTGAATAAATGGAGAACATGGGTAACTCTTGATCAGAACAAAGTTTGAGTACATATGCTGCAAAACAGTGCCTGGGAGGAACAAGTATGTATGTCTTCAAATAAGTTACAGGAATTATTGGAAATAAAAGGTGCTGGAAATAAGGGAAAACTAACTGAAGTCCCCTCTGAAATCATGAATGCAGTGATGCCTTTTGTCTGAGCAATCGAACAAACTGGAAGAGCCAAATCAGCAGAACAGGTAAGAGTAGAATTGAAGCCAGAATCAAAGCTGATAAAACAAAAACAATATACCATGAATATGGAGGCTTGTGTTGGACTGGTGCCTGTAATTAACAACTTTCTGAAATTGTTGTGAGATTGTTGTGAGAATGTCAATCTGAATATAATACCCCAATTTTACCTACTATAAACTGGAACAGGTTGCCCAAGGAGGTTGTGGATGCCCCATCCATGGAGGCGTTCAAGGCCAGGCTGGATGTGGCTCTGGGCAGCCAGCTCTGGTAGTTGTCAGCCCTGCATATAGCAGGGGGGTTGAAAGTAGGTGATCATTGTGGTCCTTTTCAACCCAGGCCATTCTATGATTCTACAATAAAGCCATATTAACAGGAATACTGCTTAGTACAAACTTAAACAGTGATGGATATACACCTGATTGTACAAAATCCTACACAGTGACAATTGATTTGAAGTTTACTTTACAGTATTGGACTTAAAGGATGTCGTCTTCTGCATTCCACTGGAAGAACGAAGTCTAAAGCTGTTTACCTTTGAATAGGAGAGCCCTATAGCAGGACTGAAAATGCAGTTGTGCTGGACAACTCTTTCTGCAGTGTTTCCTCAGGGATTCAAGAACAGTCATAAAAACTAACAGCCAAAGCTGTTAAAGGACAAGGAGTGTAATTAGAAGAGACTTAAGAATGCTGAAAATGATTTGATGAAATAAAAATCACTCACATGTGCTCCTGCCTTATGTCTCCTGAATTTAACATTCTTTTGAACTTTATTTATATGAGAGAGGATTTCAGGCTTTGGGGGTGCTTGCAAAAACTTTGGGAGACTGGAAAAGACCAGTAGCTTACTTTTCAAAATTGGGTAAGGTAAGCTCTGGATGTCTGAGAACAGTGGCAGCTGCTGTGTTGCTAAGAAGTACAAGAATTGGCCTTGGGAGAGAAAATTACTGCTTATGTATCACATACTGTCACAGTACTGCTAGAGCAGAAAGGATACTATTGGTTATCCCCAAACAGAAAGATGCAATACCAAGCAATACTGCTCAACGAGAGGGTGAAAAAAAATTGATTTGATGGATGGACCGCTTGCTGAATAAGCAATTGGCTGGATGATAACGCTCAGAGTTGCAGTTAATGGTTCAAGTGGAGATTAGTAATAAGTGACATTCCTCAGAGATCAGTGCTGGGACTGGTGTTATTTAACATCTTTGTAGGGAACATGGGATTGAGTGCACCCTCAGTAGTTTGCAGTTGACACGCTAGAGGGAAGGGGTGCTATCAAGAGGGACCTGGATAGGCTTGAGAGTTGCGCCCATACCAAGCTCATAGAGTTCAACAAGGCCAAGTGCAAAAATTCATTCTTTTGACAGATGGTTTATTCCTTGGCTAGGAATAAATGATCTAGAGAAGGCCATTTGCTTTATTTCTGTGCAGGGCATAAGGTGAGTAATCTCCATAAAATTAAGCACAGTGAGTCTTCACATCTTCTATTTATATTCAATTATTTTTAATATATGCCTACTTAATACTTAGGTCATACATACCTACTACATATTCACAGGATTATACTAGTACAAGGTCACACAAACATAATTGAGTCCTCTGTGCCTGTGTGGGGGTCTTTGGTGGTCATGTGGGGAGGTGTCCCACTACTCACTGCATCCCTGTTTGGGCACAGGCTTTCCCAACACACCTGGTCTCCAATGATTGGTCTCTGTTTTGGACTTGTGCCTGTAGTTCAGGGATGTTGCTCTTCTTATAAAAGTCTCGTGGGCAGAAAGGATGTTTATCATAGATAAGCAGTACATCTGGAAGTCATAAGCAGAACTAGAACTTTGAGTAAGCACCTTATTAGGCAAAAAAAAAAAAAAAAAAAAAAGGCATATAATTGTGAGAAAAACTTGAAATGATTTTTTGAAAACTGGAACTCTTGTGGAAAAAAAATTGTGATTGCAGTGGAGGATGTCCTGCAAGCAGGAGTGCCTGCTGTTAGAAAAATGAGCCCTTATATCTTCTAGTTCCAATGCTGAGTCCCTCCCCTGCTGCCAGGTTTACATTCTTCACGCGCACATCCCCTGAGTAGTTGACAAAGTCCATTTCTCTTTGTTTCTCTAAGTAAGCAGAATCCACAAAACAGTCCCAAGCCTTAATCTGTCTCCTGCTGCATGTCTTCCAGATCTGTTTGTTTCTTCTTATGCAGTTCTGGATGCAGATGTATGTCTTACAGCCTTTACCTTTGGTAGCCCACCCTTCCCCCAGCTACCAAGGGAGGAGAGTACACAAATTAACACGCCAGCTGGTCTCCTCTTATCTGTCAAGAATGCGCATACTGCATCCTTTAACCACAGACAGGAACTTATATCGTATCAAGCCCGAGGTGCATCCCTTTGGTACAGCATTCTGATGCAAAAACAGCTCATCTCGCACACAGTTCTGAGACGCCAACTTGAATGTAATCTGGAACCAAACTAGAATACTGCAGAGGTGCAGGAAGATGGTGCCTCTCTTGGGTTCGAATGGACACGGAAATGGCCGACTTACTGGTTCCCTCACTTGAGTGTATGAGTTAAGAAAATGGTGATGCAGCTGATTGCCATCGCATCAGCCTTTGTACACACGTGGTTTTCTTTCGATTTTCCAGTGTACTTATAAGCTCCTAGGAACTTTCAAAATTAGAAGGAGGAATCAGGGACGATTAAAAACTTAGCTAATGCTGTATTAGGGAATTCTTAACCTACCCGAACTCCCACGCACTTCACTTAGAGAAAATACTCTACTCTAAATGTTAAATGCAGGGAGAAAGGGAAGGCAGTCACTCTGTGTGCGAGATGGGGGCTTTCACGCTCTTTCAGGCACGGCCGCGGCCGTGTGAGGCGGAGCAGCCCGCGGCGGGACTACAGCTCCCATCGTGCCCGGCCGCAGGGAGCCGCCGCCATTTCGCCGTTCCCCCTTAACCGTTGAGCTCGGTCGGCTCCCTGTGCCCCGCCGTCGCTATGAGCCGCCTCAGCGGCGGTTGGGATGGCGCCAGCGGGGAAGCTCGGCTCCTCCTGGACCTGTGAGTGCCGCCCCGACGCCTCCCCCAGCTGCCCCACGGCCCCTCTCCGCGGTGCCCCCGGCGCTGAGCGCTGCCCTGAGGATGGGCCGGCTGCCCTCCGCTGGGGGAGCGGGACGGGAAGGGGCCGGCAGGCTTCGGGTCGGGGTCGCGGAGTGTGTTTGGCTGGCAGTTGGACAGGGCAGGCGGTTGGGTTCGGCTGAGCTCAGCAGCAGCAGGGTGGGCGACGGGTGTGATGGGTGGCAGGGTGGGTGACAGGGCTTGTCAAGGGCCGTCTGGCTGGAGTGACAGACGGGTGACCGGGTTTGGCAGGTGGGGAGCTGCATGGCTTCTGACGGGTCTGCAGGCAGAGGGGTGGTGAAGGTTCCCTGGTTGCTGCTGGGCCCAGTGAGTCTGCTGGAGGGTGTTTTGCTTGGCTCTGTCGTGCTGTCACGGTCCTTTGCGCTTGTGAGGGAGGTGGAGACGGTAAGGATAAAACATCGGTTTGACAGGTGAAAAAAAAAAGCTGTTGGACAGCGCAGTTCATTTTAGCCTTATTCCTTTAAAGCAGATAAGACTGTAATTGCCACGTGTTGGGAAAATTTCCGCTCCACTTGGCTGGCTCAGTTATCTTTATCCCAAAAAGAGTCAGGGGAGTTTTTAGCTTTCTTTATTAAAATAAATGGGGAGACCACTGGGAGCATTTCCTGGTAGGATCTCTCAACTCATCAGAGGTCACAGACTCTTTTTTTACCTCTGTCTCCAGACTCTGTAGAGAGCCCTCCTCTCTGTCTTGTCCCATTGGCTAAGCTACTTGGGGTTTGCATTCTCAGTTTGCCTAGCACATGCTCATCCCCCCAGCAGGTACCACCCTTTGTTTCTTTTGTTTATACATACTTTATAATCTAGAGTCAGAGTTTGTTGTTTTGCTCAACTAAAGCTGTCTTTGTATCCTGCTTGACAAAATCCATCCCTCTTTGTCCTGTCAAGCAAACAAGATTTACAAGCCGGTGCTAAGCTAGCATCTCCTGCTGTATATCTGCAAGATAAGTTTGTTTATCAAGTTCTTCACAGCCTTTATTCATCAGCCTTATCTTATTTTGCAATGACATCTTACCCTTTCTTCTTTCATCTCATATGGTTTAGCTGGTAAATATATATATTTTTTTTTCATATAAGATGCAATAATAGTGAAAGCATAAATGATATTATCGAAGCATCAAATCACAAGTGTCCTCTGAAAACAGGCAGGTTTTGAAAATGGTGCAATTCTTCTTAAGGTCAGGCTGGACAGGGCTCTGAGCAACCTGATCTGTATGTGGGTGTCCCTGTTCCTTGCAGGAGGACTTGGACTGGATGACCTTTAAAGGTCCCTTTCCAACCCAAGCAATTGAGTGTTTCTGTGATCTTAATATTTTTTTTCTCCCAAGAGAAATTTTAAAACTCAGCAGCAAGAAACAGTTAAAAGTAACTGAGAGATTCAGCATAACTCATGTTGATTTCCATTTCCCTACGCTGTTGTTGAAGTATTTTCTCCATATTGAAGTAATTAGTTGGTCTGGAATGGCACGTACCTATTCACACATGGCTGGGGTAGTCCCCTCATAGTAAAACAAACAAACAAAAAAACAAAAAAAACACAACAAAGTTTGTATTTTGATTTTAGATACTATTATTTCTATGTACTACAGTATATGATTACAGTTTGCCTCTATCAGTCTAGCTTGATTTGCAGAGTCAGACTCTATGACCAGAGTTAGGTTATAAAGCAGGCACGTTTATTCAATGAGATGCGTATTGTTGGGTACAGGGGGGATAGTTCCTCCTAACACACACACCAACAAGCAAGAATGGTACAAATTTGTATAGCAAACATATGCATATTCCAAACATGTCCTGGAATTTAGTTGCATATTCATTAATTTTCCAGAAACTCATTTGCATGCTGCTTCTCCCCTTGACGCATGCGTAGTTCATAGCGGGGGTCTTCTTCTGGTGGTCATGGGGATGAAGTTAATCTCTTTGAGTTTAGCCTAGTTTTGTGTTCAACTATCAGAAATAAACTGGCTCTTGCTGACAATGCCTCAGCGCTTCCTCCTGATGTTTACATTCTTTCCATTCAGTTTACCACAGCACTCTGTCCCTTATCCTGTTCTCTCCAAATTCCTGCTTAGCTTGCACCCTAATACAATAGCTAATCAATAACCTGTCATTCCTTAATTCAAGCTTGCCAGGAACATTCCTTTACTCTGACCAAAATGTAGATGTCATGTCAAATAAGTACAAGTCTTATGGGCAGCAGCTGAAGGAACCTCTGAACAGTTGAAGGGATTATTTAGCCTGGAAAAGAGAAGGCTCATCGCTCCCTACAACGACCTGAAAAGAGTTTTTGGTGAGGTGGGGATTGAGCTTTTCTCCCACATAACAGCAGCAAAATGAGAGATAATGGCTTTAAGTTGCCCCAGGGGAGGTTCAGGTTGGATGTTAGGAAACATTTCTTCTCAGAAGGAGTGGTGATGCCCAGGGAAGTGGTGGAGTCACTGTCCCTGGAGGTGTTCAAGAACTGTGCGGATGTGGCACTGAGGGACGTGGTTAGCAGGCATGGTAGGAATGGGTTGCTGGTTGGACTACATGATCTTGGAGGTCTTTTCCAGCCTCAATGATTCTATTATTGTATAATTCTAAATACTTAGCCCCTAACAGAAGTGTGTGCACTTTCGTGACAAAGAAAGGCTCACCCATTCTTTCATGTATCTCAGTAGAATGCCATCCCGAGAGAAGGGATGATGATACTGTAGGTGCATACACAGGCCGGTGCAAAGGTGCAGAAAGGCTGTCTGGCTTATCCTAGCCCAAAGTAGGGTGCCCCTTCACATTAATCAGCATGCTGCACAGATCTATCAGTGATGAGGGTCACCAGTGTGGTTTTGAGTGCTTTGATAAGATTATCTGGGAAGCAAACAACCTTTTATCATACCTGCTGACAGGCAAAGAATTATCACATTTAGAAAAAGGAAGGGATGAAGATGGTGTAACCTGCATGTGCTGAGTGGGAGAGCTCTCTATTATAATTCATCAGCGGAGTTCATCCAACAGACAGCATGGTGCTCTCACACATCTCCATAGGGATCAGTTAAAGGCAGTCCACATGTGTGCTGAGGCAGTGGTGGTGCATACTGGCAGATGGATCTTTACAGCTGCAGCATGTGGTTAAACTCTAGATTCCGCTTGAAATCACCGCCTCCTCGTTACAGTGTCTTCTGAAGTGACCCACTACAGATGTTCTTACTCCATTTTAATCTTGTTTTGCATGATTAATCTCTTAAATTTATGGATTATGCTGCCTGCTTGTGTTCTCCTAGTTAGTTATATATCAGGCCTAGTAATTTCTCCACGTCTATTGTGGAGCTCAATACTCTTAACAGTTTTTACTTCCAATTGGATATTAATCTTAATGCTATTTTATTAGTAATATTGCAGCAATCTTATCCATTATACCAGTAGGATTAATACTTTACATTCATAATTACACTTTAAAACACCCCAGATGTGTATTATTTTAGCGCACTGTTTTGTATCTCACTCTAATCAGGTGATGGCCATCTATGCTTTAAGCTTGTTACTTAGGCCCTGGTGCTGAACTAGCAGAACTTGCAGCAGAAACTGAAAATTAAAACAAATCTGTGTATGTGCAGCACACCGTTAATAAGGGCATTGCTTTTAAGATCTTTAAACCTGAATATGCATTTATGCAGGTGTTTCTGCTGCTGCTTCCTGCTTGTTGCCCTTTGCTCCCACCCCAAAATGCATTTAGCACTCTGGAGTTCAGTCCTCTTTTGCATGAGAGGATCATATAAGAAACATTTAGAAACTTTTTTTTTTTTTTTTTTTTTTCAAGTTACATTGTACATTCTGTATTAGTTTCTGTTTTCTGAAGTTTACTATTCCCAAGGTGAGAAATGACCAACTTACACAGATGATGCAGTTTAAAGACTGGCACATTGAGGTAAGCCTGTGGTTGGTTTACGTATTATGTTTGGTTGCAGACTGACTGAATGGGAGTTTCAGGGGCTGCCAAGGAAGCATTTAGCAGAGAGGTGGAGGCAGCTGGGGCAGGTAACAGCTTTAGTTGTGCTGAGGCTCTCAGAGCCCTGGCAGATGTTTTAAGATCATTTGTTCATGCCCAGACATGCTCAGAACCAAGACAGTTTCTACAATCAAAAGTAAGGCTCTTAGAGCAACAAAAGCCAAATAACACATTTTCAGGTGTTTTAATTAAAATAGTCACCACATTGTAAAGAACTGTTCTGCTCGTGCAGTTGGGAATTGCTTAGATTTGATCATTCCCTGTGTTGTTCGTAGACAGCATTAACAGATGGCCAGCACATTGCAGGTCAGCAATGACTTCCCCCAGATTGTCAGTGTGTTTGAAAGCTGAGGCCTTAAGGAAGGTATCAGAACATTTGCAGATGGCTGCATCTGCACGTACAAAAACTGAGTGCTGAAATAGAGCTTCAGTTTCAAAACAGAGCTCCCTTGTGTGGTCTTGCTGTGAATATATGTTACCTAATCTTAAATAATGCAGGAAAATGTCTCTAATTGAGTTGCTTGTCTGTCTTAGCTTCCTTTCTTCTGGTTCTTTTCTTCAGATGTGCCCGAGCTCTAACATCCGTTCTGCTTTTCTTTTACGTGTGACATAACTTTGTGTAAGCTGTACCTTGATGTAAGCTGGATTGCTTGTAAAATAATTAGTTATCAAGATCTATGAAGATAGGGAATGTAGTTCAGGTAGCTACAGTCAGTAGATGATAGAACTTGCAGTTCAGGGCACTCCACTGCTTGCACGTGCTCATATTAAGTAACAGGACATGGTGGGGAGATATCCTTCCCCACTTTTGGTTTTGCTCTAGTGTAATGCTTTTTAAAGTCTTGTAATTTCCTGGAAGACAAAGCGTTACCTTTTGTCTCTGGATATGGGTTAGATTCATGCTAACTTATTGCCTTCTTTTACCTAGGGACTTAAATTTCATCATAATCTTTCCCTTCAGAGACAAACAAAGTTGCTTCTTTAAGGACTAGCTGTCTCTAAGTGTGCCAGTGAGTGTTGATGTTCTGAAGGTCAGTCTGCTCAAGGTGCTTAGAAGGCATTCCCAAAAATTGCTTCTGGTGTTTCAGTGAGCCTGTGATTTTAACAACCTGAAGTTGGAAAAGTGAAGATACTTCCTGGTTCACACAAATACTTGAGCCCTGTGTTTCTCTGAGATTAGTATACAGTGTTTTAGCAAAGCACTACTTCCTGATAGAAGCCTTATGTAAGTTGGTTTTCAGTAGCTGGCAAGGGGAAGAGGATACTCAGAACAAAGAAACAGTTTTGGACCTCTGATACAAAAGGTACACAGAGGGCAGGATCGTGGCACGTACAGAAAATGCGGGTGAAACGGTACACGTTGGTGTTACTGTTAGTTCAGAATCTCTGGCCTGGTGTGTAGGATCATCAGGCTGTTTTCTTCATGTTGACAAATGTTTTGAAGAATGAGAAGGAAGGAGAAGGAGGCCTAAATATTGCTGTTAAAAAGAATGTCTATTTTGACTCAAACCAACTGATGTTTCTGATTGCGATAGGATTTCGGCCAGTTGTTCCTGTGAGACCCTTACTTCTCAGCCCAGGGCAGCTGAGTTTCCGTGATAACTGTTGCTGATGAGACTATTTGAATGCCTTGTGGCAGTATGGAACAGCTGGACCCAATGAGGTTTGGAGGCAGCTGTGCTGCCTCCATCTTTTGGTTTGATTATTCTGTTTCTAATACATAATGCCTTTTTTGACCGTGTAACTTTCCTATATTTCAGGTGCGTTCAGTATTTGACAAAGAACCTTTCCAGATACACTGCAGATATCAAGACGTTGCCACCTAACATTAAGGATAAACTAATTAAATTAATGAGTAGACAAGGGCAAATAACAGATTCAAACATCAGTGAGGTAAGAACCCATTAAGAACTTCTATCTGTGGTAGTTAAGTTCATCTGTAAGGATGAACTAAACTGTAACTCCTTATGTGTGACAACAGGTAAATTCAGGGCTGCTTAAACTGTCCCTATCTTCACTTTTTTCTTGTTCTTTTCCCTACACTTTGTAATGGTAATAGTCAGTGTTAAAAATAATACAGCTTATACAAAATACAGTTGTATGGGTAAGTAAATGAAAAACGCTTTCCAGTCAGTGACAATTTACTTCTCTTTAATCAGCTGACAAACATAATCTCTTTTCAGTACTGCAAAGTAGGCTGTTTTAAACTAGTTATGCTAGAGATTGTAGTGTGTTTCAAGAAGCCAGTGCAAAATTTGTTAAAAGATTTCAGGAACTTGTTAAGTTTCTGTCACACTCTTGACATTAAGATTCATTTTCGTTCTTTGAAATATGATTGTGCTAGAGCTGAAAATTGATGGTTCAACTTCTCTAATCGCTTTTGCTCATCGGCAAATTACTTTTCTTTGGCTGTAAATTGAGAAGCACATCTGTTTTGGTATCTATCCATTGTTATCTTGTTTGGCTTCAAAGGGAAGTGTGAGAATTGAGGAGAGCTAAAGTCTGACCTTGGTGAAGGAGGAGATGAATGACTCCCTGTTTGTAGCTGTTTTGACCTGCAGCTCCCAAGAGACACAGTATCAGTTCCACAGAGCTGAAACAGTGAAACTAAGTGTGGAGGAGAATTAGAAGGACTGTGGGAAAACCTTCAAACAAACCTTTTTATTTTCTGTATGCATCATTTTTAATTGTAAAAAATAAGAAGTTCTCAAGTGTTCTTTATGTCATTTTGGTGAGTTTGTGTTGACACAATTTGATTTGGGCTGTTTTCACTAAGTAATCCTTTCTAAGCATCATGAGAGATGCATATAATTATAACTGTATGACTGTACGTATAAATACTCAAAGACATTAAGATATCTTTAGTCTGAGAAGAAACTAGGGAGTTGAATTATATTTTTTTCTCTGGCTCCTTGTGAAATCTCATCTGTCTTTGTTCAGCAGTTGGTCACTGCCTTTTCTTGAAGCTGTTTTTTCACTTGAATATTTCATTTTGGTTATTTTTCTCATGTGTTTCTTTTCTCTGTTCCTGCACTTTCCCATAATCACTTTCCTTGAGCATGATTTATCTTAGCTTTCTTTCCTAACAGTTTCCAAGTTTACTTTTAATTCATTTGCACTTTTCTATAAATGGTAACCACCTTTATGATTCTGAATTTATACTGTTTCTCCATGCTGTTCAGCATTCATGTTTTTTCAACTTGCAGATATGCTTTTTGTTCAGCACAGCAAAACCACCTTAAATAGTTCAGCTCTTCTTATTGTTCCTTGCTTGCATAACCAAATATTTTATGCTCTGAACATTTGCAAAATCTCAATTCTTCCATATGGGTAAGGAATTTTCTGTCTTTGCTACTGCTTCCCTCTTGCTCTTTTCTTTTATAGTCTCAACAGATCTGTTCTCTCAGATTTTTCCAGGCTGTGATGATTCATTGGTTTTTGTGCCTGTTTATTCCTTGCTGTTGTCCAGTATTTTGTTTACAGTTTTATCTTCTTGTAGTTGAAATTCTGTTTGCTTGCATTTATCCATTAGCTTTTATTCATCTCATTGTGCTCTTGCCCGGACTTGTTCTACCGTCCTTTTTTTCCTTACTCTGCTTTTTGCTTGGAGCAGCTTTATATGAGATGTAAACTCCTTACTGCAGCTCAATTTTACCATAAAGATATACAAAGCACTTCAGCATTTGTTCACAGGACGTAAGGCTGTACTTTAATCTCCTGTATTGTGCATCCAAACAATATTTATCTTAATTCCACCTCTTTGAGACAAATTAGATTTTAATATCTGTATTCAATGAAAATGAATCAGTGAATAGCAACAGAAAGCAAACCTTTAAGTAATAACTAAATGTGTGAAAAATTGTTAGCTAGGGAAACTTCATACTCCAGCTACTTTAAATAGCATTATAGTAATGTGGCTTCTTGTTTAGAATTCTCTACATCTAATAGTTCTTTTTCCCATTTTATGGTTCTGATGTCTGACAAAGTTTTTCAAAACCAGCAGTTTGCTCTCTTTTCTGGTGATCTGGGCAATTTGAAATTGAGGAAGAAACTCGATAGCCAGGGAAAGCATCCTCAATAAATGTTGATGATCACTATGACTTCAAGCATGTCAACTCTGGGTTTGATATTAGTTCATGAGATACGAATTCAGAACTATGATTGAAATAGAAATTGAATGTGACTCTTGTGAAAACTACTTGTGAGTGTGTTATAGGACGTGTTGGAAGTTTTATGGCATAAACAGATGCGTTTGAGGCTTCTAGTATTTAGGGGAAAATACAATCAAAGCTGCCTTCTGTTTGCCACTTTGGAAAAAGGTTGCAATTATGATCTGCTAGAAGTTCTTGCTTCTTTTCAGAAGGCTTGTTTGACTTCATTAGTAAAGATTTTAGCATCATGTGTATTTGAACAACATAAGAACAGTGTAGCTTTGTGAGTTAAAAGAAGGAGTGAGAAGCTGAAGGGGGTAATATAAGGTAATGATCTAACATTTGCTTATTGATCAGAACACATAGTGACACAAGGTCTGGGAAGAGGAGGACTGCAAATAATATTTAGTAAAAAGTGATGAGAGTCACCAAAAATGAAATGAAAGGTAAGATATGTGGTTATTACTACAATCTGAGGCCTTCCATCACTTTGGGTCTAAGTTTAATAAACGCACTTTGGGAGAAAGGAAGACCTGTGGTCTTGTGGGATTTAAAGAGCCTCTTTAATGAGGATTTGGTACCTCTGCATGTGTGTGGGTGAGAAAAATACTCTTGGGCAAAATATTTTTTTAAGTCTCAGCTTAAATCTGCTTAAGGCATTAAATTTGTTTATACTATGTGTTTACACTTCAGCTTTCTGCCATACAATTTCTAGTAAGTCCGAGAATATTATCCTTGGTAAACATACTGACATACTGGTATTAACAACTGTGGCATCCACTGTTGAAACAGTAGTGTTAATGTGCTCCTACTCTAGATTTATCACAGAAATGCAACATTTGTACTGTGGCAGGTGAAGTGTTGTGGCAGATTTAACATGTTCTCTTTATGGATTTTAATTGTCAGGACTGACAACGCCATCCTCTAGTGGGTATTTTAAAAAGTTCTATTTGATGTCTAATATTACTAGTATTTTGGATTAAAATCTGCAGTTCTGTGACATAGCAGGTTTTTGTTACAGGTATTGCATCCTGCTGTAGAGTCTTTAGACCTCCGAGAATGTGATATTTCAGATAATGCATTATTGCAGCTTTATAACTGCAAGCAATTGAAAAAAATCAACTTAAACTCCTGCAAAGAAAACAGATTGGGAATCACTTCAGAAGGTATGTTATCTGTGTATAGATAACTGGCATCTTGTTTCTGTTTTATTTTTCTTTTAGATTGGAGTAAATTGCAAAAATATCTAGGGTAACTCCTCTTGCTTTAAAAAGTCCCCAGTGCCACACCAATACTAATTAAAAGTAACTTCAGTGGTGTAAATTATAGGCCTGGAACAATGATCATCTTATGAAAGGAGCTATCAGGTTACTGATATGCTGGTGTTCTGATAATTCTGTGGTTCATTTGATGATATTTTTCACTTCATTTTGTTCTTCAGTAAATCAGTTTGTAGCATTTCCTCTTACTTGAAAGATTTAGCTTACTTTAGGATTTGGTATTTCAAGTATTATTCTTAACCTGCAGTATCAAGTTGTGTCGGGAGCTATCGGCTTGTAAGAATTAAGTTTGCTAAGTTTTATTTTCCACAACCTTTGTTCTGTCTTTTCATTATGCTTATTTCTTTGCTCCATCATTAGCTCATCCATACTGAAAACTGAGGCTAAATATTCATTTGGAGTTACTATATATCTTACTTCAGATCAGCCTTGTCTGTATTTTCTTAGCACTGCATATTGACGTGCTTATTTTTCAGTGAAATGTTTTTAGTTGATTGTATTTACATGTTTTCAATGTTCCTGCATTATTGTGCTTATTGATCACTGGGACCTATTGCCTTGTTGCCTGGTGTTCACTGGACCATCAGCAGGACCTAGTACTGTCATCTCTCTGCTCTGCTCACACAACTCAGTGCCATGGGGCTGCAGCCTGTTGTGAGGGCGCTGCGCTGCCTTCTGTTGTATCTAACCTACGCTCATGGCTTGCATTCACTTACAGAGCAGCCCTGATCTTGCTGCCCCTTGACTTAAATACTTTAATCCTCTCCACAATCTTCTTGCTAATTGTAGTGCCACACCAAGCATTGTTCTTAATTGGACTTATCTCTTTTTTTGTCTTCCTGTCCACTGATAATCCTGTAGACAGTACTAAACCTTTGTGTAGCTGAATTTAACAAGTGTGTATATGAAGGCCTGGTGTGAAAGTGGAGAGGACTGGAGTAAATTACTGCAATTGTTCTGCTGTTCAAAGGGGTTTTGGTGCTTGTTTTTGGTCATTCCTCTTCCTTCATCACTTGGGCAGACTGTTTAAGTAAGACCACTTTTCTGATGAATGTTCCCCAGTGTTCAAACATTCCAGCATGTGTATTCCTTCAGGAGCCAGCAAGCTGTTGCTGCAATTTCTCCGAGTTAGTGCTTCTTTCTGCCTGCCACCAGCATAGTATAGTTGACTGTAATTTCTCCCAGTTAAGATTTAGTAGTTTTGTTTATCTCAGCTTGACTCTCCTATCCACTGGAGTTTTCTTCCTAGATCTACATTTAAAACCCTAACTTATCATGCTATTTTCTGGATTTGCTCTGGTTGTCAGTACTTCTTAGCAAGGACTTCCAATGCATATAGACCAGCAAAAATATTTCACAGAATATCCAAAAATATCTAAATATCTATCCTTATCATTCTACATTATCTTTAAAATTACCCTTCTCACTCAGTTTCTCTAATGTCAGCCTATCACTTATCCTATTTCCTTTCTCCTCCAGAGCAGCTCTCTCCACTACCATCCTCACTGTTGCAGGATGCTGTTCCATCTTCTGTTTCTGCAAGTTTCACATGCTTGTTTTCCAGCACAACATAATGTTCATTAACTTGATTTTTTTCTCATCCCCTGTCTTTTCTCTCATTTGACTGCATGATGGCATTTTTCCATTAATCACATTGGACCTATTGTCCATGTAGCCATGTTGACAAATGACTGTAATACTTCAGTTTATATGAATGGACATTGTTACACCAAAACTATGATGCAGCTACAACACTATTTCCAGAGGTATCTCAAGCCATTGTTTGCTCTTTTTTTTTTTTCACTCATTCACTGACTTGATATCTTTATATAGATAACATCCCTCAGGTATTCCATTTACATTATGGAAGGGAATTCAGCATTTAGAAATCTTTATCAGCTCTGGCATTCTTCAGCAGTACCATTTATCAGGTCTCTGCTCTTGTTAGCTGATGTCAATTTATTTTTCTTATCCTTCAATTAGCAAAACAAAACAACGACCACAAAATGATTTTCATGTACTGTATCTTGCTGACATGGCATGTAATGAAAGTTGAGCAGTCAGTGACCACCAGAGGGCAGCACGGAGATTTCAGTGGGGTGATTATCTTACAGTGACTGATTTTTTTTTTTTTTTTTTTAATTATTCTGTTTCTTTGACAGGTGTCATAGCCTTGGCTTTATCCTGCCCTTATTTGCGTGAAGCATCTTTTAAAAGGTGCTGCAATATAAGTGACAGTGGAGTTCTTGCTCTTGCGCTCAATTGCCAGTTCTTACAAATACTGAACTTGGGCAGCTGCTCAGGCATCATGGATGCATCTCTGCAGGCGCTAGGAGAAAACTGTAAATTTCTTCACAGTGTGGATTTTTCATCTACTCAGGTAACTATGATGGCAGTAGGTTATAACTGACTTTTGTTGTTTATTTAGTTATTTATTCAAGATTGGCTTGATAATCTTTATTAAACGTGATAAACAATATCTTTTTAGATCAATTCCTAATAAGGCTTAAGACCATGGTTCATTTCCACTTTTCTCTTCGTAAGGAAGAAGACTCACACTGAACATAATCACTCACCACTAAAGTCAGCTGAATGCTATATCTCATTATCTCCAAAATTCCTTCTTAAGGAAAAGAATGTTTTTGCATCCTGGCTGTGATAGATAAGGGTTAAGTTTGTTAGTCAAATCGAAACTCAATGGTGCTTTCTTGGGTGTCTGGGAATGTAAATAATGTTGTAAATGATGGAATCTAAGAAGTTGCAGGCCCAGGGCACATAAGTTGCTAGAAAATAACCAAAGAATAATGGAAAAGACTACTGACTTTCACCCCCACAACCATCAGGAGGCTGGAAAATGAAACCCCAGCAAAACACCTATGACCACAGCAACAACCTGTGTGGCTGCTGGAACGTATGCAGGAGATAAGAATTGTATCAATGCAAGAATTGCTGGAATGTCTGCAGGAGATGAGAACTGTATAAGTACAGAGCCAATCCTTTGTTCAAATCGCGACCCTGGTGGAGCGTACGCTCCCCTCGGCTGCCCAGCGCTGTTTTGCTCACTTTACCGCCTTGCTTAATTAAATAAAGCTATCCCGTTATCAAACTGGACTCTATCTGGTTTTGTCATGGGAATCTATAACACTGGCAATCAGAAAAATACACATTTTGGTATTATAGCATGCATTGAGGACTAAAGATACATTTATTAAAATCCACGTACTGTTGGAGACTTCAGTGTCTTTATGTAGTGTAATCATTTTCTTCAAGTTATAAAATACTTCATAAAAAGAAAGTACAACCTTGGACACGTTAGTATGTTCTTTCAGGTAAGACAAACCAACCTGAATAGTAGTAATATATATTGTTCAACTATGTATGCCCATGCTGTAAGCAAAGAGTCCGTAATTAGTTCTAGTTCAAAAGTCATTGTGTTTTCTGAATGGCTTTATCAGAGTTATGTTATGGAGTCAATGGGGAAAGAATGATATGAAAAATGTAGGAAAGAACAGATAAGAGGATTTAGCAGCAGTTGCTATTTAGCATAAGGAGGAGCAAATTGGCTACAACAACACTACTAGAACAGGCTTTATAATTATGGTTAGATAATGAAATGGATGAAAGGAATTTTTGAGATAATGAAATGTAGCATTCGGTTGACTGTGGTGGTGAGTGATTACTTTATGCTCAGCATGAGTCCTACACAAAGCATTCATAATGAAGCATCAGATATGGAAAACATGGGACAGATTTGTATTTTAGGTGCTGTTGTTCTCCTTGAAGCTTTTCCTGAAGTAGGGCATTAGAAGTCATTTTATTTTTTCCTGTGGTAATTTTTATTACTATCGTTGAACCCTGTTTCTTCAAGCTTATTTAATGATTTTCAGTTCCCTTTCCTATTTCCCCTCTTCCTGTTCATGAAATAGGTGAGAAACACACTTAAAATTTCCAGTCAGGCAAATATCTTAATGATAGCAGCAAGTTTATTCATTATTGCAGTAATGGATGCACACCTCCCTACTGGCAAGGGAGAAATTGCATGCCTAGTTAGTAAAATTGATTCTGTTTTATACCCTGGACCTGACACAGGTAATATTTCTCCTGGTGCCCATTGGTTGAGTGTCTCAGTCTCACAGTCTTCCCAATGCTGTTGCTATGGTACATCTCTACATAAGGACTGTTACCAAATTGTTGTCTTTAGGTATGCTTTGTATGTTTTGAAATATTGGAGATATTTCAAAGTTAGCACATCCGTTCTGCTTTGTACATTGATAGGAGGGCAGTATTTCAAAGTTAGTGCATCCGTACTGTCCTGTGCTAGGCTCTCCCCATCCTGCGTGCTTTTGTTATCTTAGGCTGTCTCAATCCTACCCGAGTTATTGTACCCTGTTCTCAACTTCACTCTATCCATCAGCTTTTTTTATATATCAATAACATATACAACTGTTTCACAGGAAGGTTGTAAGTTCAGTAAAGGCCTACGCTGCATACAGAAAATACTGCAAACTTCTGCTGCAAAAACACAATCTACCTCTTACAATAAGTTTCCTGGTATGTGTTTTAATTGGGATGAACTCCTCCTGAATAAGTAGATGTTTGAACACCTTTTGTTCCTTCCTGAGTATCGGTCTTGTGGTGATAAAACACTAGAATTCTGAATTTCATTTGACTAAAATATGTGGACACATAGTAAGTGTCAATTAAAGTCTTAACATCTTTCTCTGTGACATTGCTAGTTACACATAAGCAGACTAAAGGAGAGAAACTGTTAGTGGGTTATGCCTGTAGAGATTGCAAGACCTAACCACATCCTTATGTTTGAGTGCCAGAATGAATAATAAAAATGAAGTGAAAGTGGCAAATGTGCATGACAGAGTAAAACAGTGAGAAATCTGGAAATAGGTGAGTGGGCAAAGGAGGGCACACAGCCTGCTGCAGAAACAAGGAGACAGATGTAAGATAGGCTGCAAAGGGGCAAATGGCTCAGAGCATCAACACTTTTAGAAATAATCTCATGTGGTGACTGTGGAGAGAAAAAATACAGGAAGTGGAAGACAAAGACTGATACAAATAATAAGAAATGGGGTGGACAAAACAAGGGAAGAAATGACTAAGAAGAAGGTGTAGATCTGCATCCCCTGCATACACAGAGTGTATAAATGGAAGCTTGGCCTGGAAAAGCTCTGCTATGCTGGCACAGAGCTGTGTAAGAAAACTACTTATGCTTAGGTGTCATTATGCTTGCATTATCATTCTGAGGAGCTAGGTTTTATACTTAAATTCTGTGCCTACTGCACTACTTCTAGTCTGTCCTAAATCCCAGTAGTGTTAACAGGTAGGAACATGGGCTCTAGAGTCCCAGTCCCTATGCAAATAAAATAGTACATTTCCTCTGTAATCTTCAATAATTCAGTATATGGCAAATAATTGTAGGAAGAATCTTTCTGAAAGGGCTGTGCAAACTTCTGTGCAGGGCAGTTTAGTTTTCTGCAAAATGTGTTGGCAAGAGCAGGAGTGTTGCTGGTTAGGTATTCTGTCTGTGCAGATACTTCTCACCTAGGATAGGGTTGGGTTGTTTCTATGTTTAACTGCTGATACCCAAGTAACCTAAGCCTTTGCTACATGTATAGGAGTTTGATGACTGATCTATACCAAGAGCCCGATGTATTTGTGGCTTGATATTAACCATAGATGGTTAATCTTCAATATGAGAGTATATTTCGTGATGAGAACTGGCAGATGTAGTATTACAGGTAGTGCAAATGGATACTCAGTAGAGTATGAAACAATACTGCAATACTGCTGCTGTAGTGTAGCAGTTCTTAAGGCAAGGAAGGGAGGAGGCTTGTTTTAATAAAAGCTGGTCTGGTGCTTAATATATTCACAATCATAGAGTTCAGATGGTTTGTGGAGTTGTTAAGGCACCAACCGGAAAATCTGGTCCAGGTTTCTTTTGATGACATGGAGGAGAAGAGGCACAGCTATCAAATCTTAACTCAGTTTGTTCTTAGGTTGGTGACCATGTACTGGTTTTAGATGTACCATCTTAGATCCTTTAGGAAATTACAGTGATTAATCTCTCTGCTTTTGTCCTACATAAGGAATTTATTAGAATGTATTTGTTTACTGCCCTTTGTCTCCTGGTCTGGCTGTCTTGAGAAACTAAAGGTGCTGTCATCTTGATAACTTGCTGAGCTAGGCACTGCCATTCGTATTGCCCTTTGTGTATTTTCACACTGAGTCATTAATTCTTCATTTGCACTGATATGAGCCTTTCTACTTCAGTTCTGTACGGTCAATTTGCAATAGGTGGCCAGTAGCCAAGAAGACAATTTGTGCAATGGAAATACTCAAATCTTTAAACAGAAATGGAGCTTGTGGTATCTGAATTCCAGCTGTCAGATTGGGCTGAGTCTCTCTATGTGTGTTTGGTGACTGCAGTAATACAAGGCCAATTGGAAATGAGGAGGAATTTTAATGAATTTAGTTCCCAGAAGTGAACATTTAAATTGTTCTTACTTGCCTTTCTGAGGAAAGCCCTTTGTGTCTCTTTTTTTCTCTTGCAGATAATCTTTGCTTTGTGGTTTTCAATAGCCAATCTGATAAAACCTTTCAGTGCAAGTGTGTGATGAGTGCTGAAAGACTGCTCGTTTGAGGGAATTTTGTGCTAATTAGCTGGTTTGCTTCCACGTGAGTGAAAGTAGGACTACAGATAAAAGGCTGCTGTGATTACTCTTTTTTTCTTTTTTTTTTTTTTCCTACCCAAGGTACTTCCTTCGTGAACGTTTCCAGCAGGGAACATTTTCAGCAGTCATGAAAACAGCAGGAAAATTAGTTCATGTAGAGCAGAAGTGCTTTAAGGCTTATAAATTAAAAATGCTGTACCCTGACCGTAGTGGTGCACCCACTGTTAAATGAGCCCACAAAGCCAAAGATACAGCAGTTCCACAGCTAGGCTGAATCGCATATGTAGTATGATGCAAGTATGTAATGGATGGGGAAAAAATATACTTGGATAGTTTTCTCTGCAAACCTAGTTTGGAAGAAAATATGTTTCTGTTAGATGTATTAAGTGACTGCAGGGAGAGTATAAACTAATATGAGAAGTCTTTCCCAAATAGTTATGTTTGAAAAATTGAGCTTTAATCCAATGTGTTAATAAGTGGTTTTTTTTCTAGGTAACAGATGATGGTGTTATAGCACTAGTGAATGGAATGTGTTCAAAGAATTTAAAGGTAAACTATCAAATCTAATAACAAATTAATTACAGAAGGAAATAGACTGAGCAGTAGTGTGAATTTTATTTCTTTGTTGTGCTGTGTTTAATAACATGTTCTTATGCTTTTAGTTTTCTTTAAAACCATACATTTAAATGCTTTTGTATTTAGGTGGATTTTTGTTGCCAGTTTTAATAAGGCAAGATTTTATGTCTTTACGTGGACTGACATAACTTAAAAACAAAACTTGTGTTCTATCAGTATACAGAACTAGAAAAGCTTAGGTCTGGTTTACAAGCAGTGACAAAAATAAAGGAAAATGTGGTGTTATTTGTTAGTCTCTTCTTCAGTCTCTCTTCCTTATCTGTGTCCTGATCCTTTTACATCTGCTTCATGTCATGAAAGTAAATTGCAAAATTTATAGGCAGTGGTCCAGTGTCAGGCATGTGGTGAAATAAGTAGTGCCTTAAAGTAATCAAACTAGCAAGTAGTGAGATCGTGAAATCTTTTTACTTCAGGAGGCATTCAGATTCCACACTTCACTTACTCACTATAATGAACTAAGAACATGCACACATCCATCAGCTTTTGTATATCTTGCTTCAGTGAATACAGTTCTTGTTTTCTGTGTCGTCATTCTGTTCAAGATTACATTTATTGCAAAAGCTCCCTTTCATTTACGTGCTCTTTCAAGATCCTTGGAGCTCATCATTTGGAAAGAGACTTCACAATAAAACAGTGTTTTGTTGGGGTGCCTGAAAAATATATTTCTAGATTCTATTTTCATTAGCTCTGAAGTTTTATTCTCAGCGTTTCTTCTCATATATTGTGTTTATTGACACAGAAAGTAGTCTGGAGAGCACTGATTTTAACAGGACCAGCAGAATTTTGATAGTAACCTGTCAAAGCCAAATGGAAACTACCAGGAAGAAAGCAGTCATTCTGTCCTCCAGGAAAACAAACTGGTAGGAGAATGTGTGATAGGAAAACCGTTGGGACTCAAACTCTGTAGAATCTCACAGAAAAGTTTTTTCAGGTGTCTTGAATGATATATGCATTTAGAGGAAAGCTACATTTATGGTTTTAGATTTTTTTTTGGTGTCAAAACTAAAAAAAGCTGTCTTAATTTTTTTCCTGAGAGTGTTTTGCTAGTCTGTACATAACCACATAAGGGATTGATGCAGTGAGAAACAGTAGGTCATAACTTCTTCTGGGTGAGGAATCTCTGAAATCACTGGGAAAACAAAAGCTTTACCTCCAAAATTGAGAGTGCTCTGGTAGGCTTTTTTTTTCAATATATTATTATTACTGTTTTCTTAACACAGGAGATCCATATGGAACGCTGTGTTAATCTGACTGATGTTGCTGTGGAAGCAGTCCTCACCTGTTGTCCAAAGATACACATTGTTCTGTTCCATGGATGCCCATTGATAACAGGTGGGTCAAGTCAGGCTGTCTCTTGATTTTCTAAACACATGACAAATTTTCCCATTCTTGCTTGTCTGTAGATTAATAAATATTCTATATGAAACTAGATTTTTTTGGTTTTTTTACTTTCTTATGAAAGCAGTCTAGAACAAAGTCCTACAAAGTCAGAAAAATATGAGGTGATCAGTGTTACACAGTGATAAATATGCTTAAGAGAGTTGAATTACATCTGCTGTAGGAATTCTAACTTTGCTTTTACTGAGTCTTACATGGTTGAAATGATTGTTTTTAAACTTTGTATTAATGCAACAGGTACATATTTATTGAAACTGCTACCAAGAGTAAGACACTTAACCACAGATTGTATGATTCTATGAACCAGTTATGAATAATCAAGATGTAATGGTATCAGTGTGGCCCCAGTCTCAGTCTTCTGTGGAGAGTAATGGGGTAAATTTTTTTGAAGGAAATGAACTATTGTCTTTGGATTCAGAAAAATTTGCTCATGCAAAAGAATATAAAGTGCCTAACAGCATGAGAAGTGCTTTGTTAAGGCCAAAAGTGGCCTTCGTTGTTGCATGTTGTGTTTTATTTCCCTGTATAACTGAGTTTCTATTTTGAAAAATTTAACTATGAGGTTGTTATGAAGTTATTTTTAAAATAGAAATTTAGTCTTATAGGGAGAGTGAAGTACTTTTTTGTGAGTACAGATCAGGACAAGATGTTAGAACAGTGGTGATCTATGTCCTTTCTGTGTTTATTTTCTATGTGCATTAAAAAGTGGAGCATAAATGCAGATAATTAATTTTGTTAACCTGATTCTAAACATCATCTATATATTATTCTGAAGGAATAACAGTATCTTTTTCTTTTGTAGACCGTTCACGAGATGTTTTAGAGCAGCTCATCATCTCAAACAAAATCAAGCAAGTGACATGGACCGTTTACTGACTATTTTTTGTCTGCTTATGTATGAGTGTAAAGTTTACAGTTAGGAGAGCTGTTTCAGGAAACAAGCACCTCTAATAAACAGCTGGTGACTTCTGTACCTGCAGATTGCTTCTCTGCTTCTTCCCACCAGAGGTCCCCATTGCCATTCCAGTCTTTGAGTGTGAGTCCGAGTTTCCCTAGCATCTCTGCTTAGAGCCCTGTCTGTCTTTGCAGCTCTGATCATGATTCGTTAAAAGGAAAGTTAAATTACAGTCAGCATTACACTATCATCTCTCAGCCTCCTTGAACAATCAGATGTAGCCGTTATTAAGCATGTTTTAGCATCTTAGCTACCTACACAGACCTGGTCTTACTAAGTCCCTGCTCTGAGTTTTTAATCTGAGAGGATAATTGTAGCTAGTTTGTCTGGAGGAAAAACTGTACGTACCTTTCTTTTGATGTTATTGATGTTACAGGTTTCTGTCTTTATTTACCATCAGTATTTACAGGAGTCTTACGCATCCAAAAGTACAGTCTGAACATGTAAAGGCAGAAGATCTTTGGAATTATTGTAGTATTCAACAAATCTCAGAATAGTGCTGATGACTGATGAAATAATCTTACACGATACTCATTTGCTCTGGCTTTTTCCTATTGCAAAATCATTGGAGAGAACAAAGCATTGGTCTCTATAAGCATAGCTGAGAGTGAAGTAAGACCACATTTAGCATTGGAGTACATGAATCTCAAGACAGTATAGTTCAACAGAGTTTGTATTCTGGTTTATACGGTTTATTATATCTCCAGTGGCCTCTAGAAGATGAAAATGTCTGTTTATGTATAGTTTGACTGTAGTCATTTTAAAAAATTGCAAGTGTAGAACTGATTATGTGACAGAGCTGTGGTTTCATCATAATTACAAATCATGTTCACTGGCTTTGTTGAAGTAGTAGACCTTACAGTGAGACCTGTATGATTTCTGCATTACACTTCTAAAAATGCTAGTAACTTCAGCAGTGCAGAGAGCAGACAGCACACTGTGTTGGTACTCCACGTTTGGAAGTAGCAGGATTTAGCTGGGCAGATCTTACATGGATCTGATAACTTTAAAAAATAACTGAGTTTAGACAATAGAAAGGAGTGTTTATTTTATAATTTAATGCTTGTTATAGCTCATGCTAATTTTAAATGTTGTAGAAAGAGAAGAGTCTTCTACTAACCTATTTAAAGTACAGATCAAATGGCATGGAAGATAATATCCTTTAACAATACTGGATGCATTACAATATCTGACAACGATCTCTGCTCCTCTCTTGATTATATGGCTTATGGAAGAGCAAGTTCCATTTAGAAAACTTGTTCATGTGTAAGTGAAAACATAATTTTAAAACTCGGGATCATAAATCTCTAATTCTTTTTGCATGAAGTAATTGATCTGTTGTGTCTGATTTCAGGAAAGGTGCCACAAAAAGAGGTGGCACTGTTAGCTACCAGAAGTGGGAAGAGGCTCCAGGAGCCTCCTGCCCAAATCAAGGCCAGCTCTGAGCTCAGCCAGTTTACTCAGGGCTTTCTCTGACCAAATCTTTCAAGTGCTATATTCAAAAAGAAAATTATAAATGGAAATACATAAAGCAGCCTAAGATGGAAGACCACTGAGGCCTGTAACAGCAAAGGACACTTATAGTGCTAGCCCTTTGCTAATGTAACTCTGGATTTGTCACATTAAAGGCAAATGCAGCTTACCACTGTCCTTAAATGTGCATGCAGATTTAATGTTCTTCTGCAGTCTCTTCTAAATGTGTAACTTAGTGCTGTACCTCACTTTGTGCTTTAAAAAAAAACAAAAAAAACAGTACATCAGTGTGATGAGTAATACTGCATTCTTAGGCTTAAAATTTTGAGTCTCAATAAATCCTTCACTTCCAGAGCTTAAGACTGCTCTTTGATAGGTTTGTTACTAGCATCCTTCTACTGGAATCGTTTTTGATTCAGGTTGAGTCACAGTCATTTTAATAAATGCTTAAGAGTGCAAGAGTGAAGCTGGAGATGAACATTGTGTATGTGTTTACCAGTTCATATTTTATATTGTACCTGTCTGTTACAGTTGTATATTCTTGGGTGAGCACTGCTGAATATTTGTATATTGCTTTGAATATTAAAGCCAGTAAGTCTTCTGTTTGAATGTTTCTGAAAATGTGTTAAGATACATTTTTATGACATATGAATGTCATATTTGTATGAGTGTTCACTTCCTACTTTGTAAGCATCTCTCTTTCTGAGTGCCACACACTTTTTCATAGTTATAAGCATCTACCACATCATGTAGGGTTTGGATAGTTGTGGGTGCATCGTGTTCCCTTCTTTGGTGTTTAGCTCCCTACCGCTGCTTATGTTGTAGTTAACTGCAAAACACGATCGTTATTTGCTTTGAAGTTACATCTGAACATCAGGAAACACTCCTTTACTGTACAGGTAACAGAGTGCTGGCACATGGTTGCCAGAGAGGTTGTGGAATCTCCTCCCTGGAGATCTTTAGAAGCTGCCTGGAGAATCCTCTGAGCATACTGCTTTGGGTGTCCCTACTGAACAGGAGGTTTGACCTGATGACCTCCAGAGGCCCCTTCCAGCCTCAGCCTGTCTGTGATTCTGTTTCCCATCACAATCAACTATCTTTTTTTATGCTTGCAGTGTTAGAGAACATAGACGTGCTTAAATGTTCTCTTTGAAGGATTGTTACTCTGTGGCTGTTTAGTCATTAAACACTTCAGCTACAGCACAAGCTGCATGTTTTAGATTCAATTGCAACTCCCTAAATAATCATTCTTGACAGCTTCAAGGTAGAGCAGCATTTATTTTTTTTATTTTAGAGGGAAGGGGGAGCCTCAAATTACTTACTTGGACATTTAGAAGAGATTAGCAAAAAAAAAAAAAAAGTAAGGCACTTGGAATTAAGTATAACATAATAATCTACATCTTTACATTTTTCATTTTCACATCTTTCTGTAAATAAGCTGCAGAACAGTGTGAAAGCAGCACAGTAATCTCTCAACCACCCTCCTCTCTCTCCACGGGGTATACTGGATATCTAAAATGTTTCACAATGGTGTCAAAGAGTGAGATTAACACAGATTAAAACATCAAGCATGCAAATTCCAAAGTGTAATTATCTTTGGATTTGCACTTCATGCCTTGCTGAATAAAGTTTGCATGTAGTTTTACCTCGAACAGAGCAAAGCCTCAATGAACATGACTGAAATAAGTATGGTGAAGGAACAGTACTCGGTATCAACAGATGCGTTCCATGTTCAATTCCTATTTTCATTTAGTATACTCAGAAAACAGCCAGGTGAGACAAAGTTCATTAGAGAACCACTTTTAACGGCTTTCTAAGCTATTTGAGGGCTGGTAACTCCAGACAATACTTGATGTTAATCCATTGTTTTCTTGTCTAGTATACTCGGGAAGTGAATATTCTATAACTTTACACAACTGATTGTGAATGCTGTGGCTTAAAAACTGATGCCTGCCAGGGTCACCGATCAGCACTTCAGTTTCATGTATCCTGATGCATTTCCTCAGCCAGTGATGAAGATCATCAGCAAGTTGTTCATCATAAAACATATCTCCTAGAACAATGAGGTCCCACTTGCCAGCTTCTGAGTTAATGATATTCTTAATGGTGATGGGAAAGGGAGTAACGTGGTTCAGTTCGCAGTTCAAAATCATTGCCATTCCTGCAACTGAAAAACAGTCACAAAGTAAAATTAAAACTGTTTTAGGATTCTATTATACAGCCCCCTTGCAAATTGCTTTGACAAAAGTTCCATCTTTCACTTTCATCACAAGTATTTTTGCTTATCTAATCTAGAGGCTCCCACAACTTTCATTATGTGTTAAATCTCACATCTTAATCTATCGTTATACTTCCTCCTTAATCACTGAATAATCAAATTATGAATAAACTATTTTCACAAGTCATATAGGGGAAAAAATCCCAGAATCAAATAGAATCATGGAATGGCTTAGGTTAGACGGGACCTTAAAGATCTTCTAGTTCTAACTTCCCTGCCATGGGCAGGGCTGCCACCCAGCAGACCAGGCTCCTGAGGATCCCATCCAAGCTGGCCCTGAGTGCCCCAGAGATGGAACACCCACAGCTTCTCTGGGCAACCTGTTCCAGAACAAATCCTAGGGAAAAAAACATAACATGAAACGGCAGGAAAATTCTTTGGGCTTACAGAAACCAACTTCCAGCTGTGATGTCTCAGAACTAATTATTTGCCATTTTTGCCTAATTAAGTTCTAGTTCTGCTTATAATTTCCAGATGTACTGCTTATCTATGATAAATATCCTTTCTGCCCACGAGACTTCTATAAGAAGAGCAACATCCTTGAACTACAGGCACAAGTCCAAAACAGAGACCAATCATTAGAGACCAGGTGTGTTGGGAAAGCCTGTGCCCAAACAGGGATGAAGTGAGTAGTGGGACACCTCCCCAAATGACCACCAAAGACCCCCACACAGGCACAGAGGACTCAATTATGTTTGTGTGACCTTGTATTGGTATAATCCTTTGAATATGTAGTAGGTATGTGTGACTTATATAGATAGGCATATATTAAAAATAATTGAATATAAGTGGAAGTAGATGTGAAGACTCACTGTGCTTAATTTTGTGGAAATTACTCACCTTATGCCCTGCACAGAAATGAAGCGATGTCTCCTTTCTAAACACCTGTTGATTTTAAAATCTCCCAAAATACATTTAAAAGACAACAGCTCCACTTGTAATTCTCTTCCAAAGCAGATGTATAAGAAACATTTGATAGAAACTTAGTTGTTCATTCACTCTAAGGAGCTATGGAGATGCATTTGTTGCAAGAGAGGGTGGTACAACCCAGCTTCTAGTACTGTCAAAAACCATCTTTTTAGGATTCTTAAAACTCTGTCTGGAAACAGATTCTGCCAAGTGAATGAGGGAAAAGTGTTAAATATACTGTAAAAATAATAAAGATCTTTGCACAGAGGTAGGAAAAGAAGGGCTTACTGGGGTCAATGTCGTTAGCAAGGACTTGAGATGCACCACTCATCACAGCAGCTATTGCTGTTGCTCCACATCCACTTCCAAGATCCAAAACAGATCGCCCTTTAACAACACATGGATTATCCAAAATGTACCTGCATTTAAAAGAAAAAAACTGTCAGAGCAATAAACCAGATATGCAAGTTTCTTGCTTACATGTTGTGTTGCAGAAAAAATTCTCATTGTACATGTAACAAAGCATGGTATCTTAAAGGACACTTATTCCAAATATGCAGCTTCTGTATAAATCCTTATTTGCCTCTGCTGATACAAAAAAAATCAAGAACGTGGATCCCAACACATCTGTGTGCAGACACCCAGGAATCCAGACTAAGAGAACAAGACACCCTACCCTCAGACTAAAACAGTTGCAGAGATGGCAGCAAGAAGGTCAGGACCAGGAGTGAAGACACAGAATATCCTGATGAGGAACTTGGGACACATAGAGGAGCTGACATCCCTTGCCTCTCATCCTGCACTTCATCACAAGGAGTCCTACCAGACAGCTTTGACACACAGCTTGGTACTCCATTATGCAGATACAAGACCAGTAAGTGAAACTGGCTTAGTTTTAATGAAAATAACCTTCTCCTACGAGGTCTGACATCCAGCTTTGTCCCCCCTCTGCAGCCTTCACTCCCCCAGGAGAGCCAATTTACTACCAGGGCAAAGGATGGGTGGAACCACCAGGGAAAGCACTTTGCTTCCTCCTTCTGAGGCTGTGCTTGCACTTGCAGTGATGTTCCTGCAGTAACAAGTAGAGCACAGTCTGGCCCAAATGCTGCGAGTGCTGTGTTTCCAGTGGAATGCTTCTCAAGTTACCCCTAATGACTGTGGTCATTTAGGACAGTCAAACCAACATATCCTCTGGCACAGGCACTGTGCTGGTGTTGGAGACTGCTGTCTGCCATGCTGGGTTAATGAGCTGCCTTACATTGCAAGTTGCATGAAATCTGGAATGGTAGAAATGCCAGCTGTGAAACAAGAATGGTTAAAGAAGCAGCGTGTTCTTATGTTCCCGTGTTCCTTTTTCAGATTGTGCAGCTAATTTCTGACAGTCCCAATGCCTCAAAACGAGTGCATAAATAATAGGACAATCAAGTGGTGAGATGCTAGTTAATCGGTATTGCTACTTAAATAGTTGGGCAAATGAATCAAAAAAACATATAATCAAATGTAGAGATTACCTTATCTAATTCAATTGTGCAATGTTTAGGACCACTCTAAGTCATTTGGGTGGCACGATAATCAGCCATTTGATTGTAAAACCCCCATTTTTCCTTGTTGAAAGTGTCTTCTTATTTACACTTTTCTGCCAAAAAGGCAGTAAAACCCTCATTCAGATCTTCCCTTTTCATCTATGTTGACAATGTGTGAGAGTTTGTACTTTGTTGTAACAATTACATACTTTTTCTGCTATTCAAAGTGAGACATTTGATTTTACAGAGTAAGAGAATTCTAACCAGTTCCTGGGAATCAGGAATACCAGATGCATTTTTATAGTAGGTGGTGAAAATGAAAATGGGGCTTCTGATGTGACTAGACGGCAGTCAGTAAGGCCTGATAATAAGGCTGCTGACATTCTAAAGGAAGGGATTGCAGGAAGCCAACCAGCACTCCCAGGCACATCAGCACAAACCTACTTTTCTCAGTTGACCAGACACATATCCACACTCCTGTCTGTCTCCTACAACCACCACACACACTTAGTCACCATAAAATAACAATCCTGCGTGAAGTGACACTGAGCAATAGAATTAAACACTTTGCTTGGTTTTGATAGTGACAGCACAGCTCTTTCAGAGATCCAGATTTGGCCCTGTAGTCAACACACATCTTCACAGAAGACAAGAGATGTCATTGTAAGAGCTGTAAGCTACTCTACATATCACGTGCTAAAAATTCACTGCCAACCGGAGGAGATTGCCTCTGTCCTGTATAAGCAGAGAGGAGCCTGGATTAAGTGCTCTCATACAAGACAAATACCACAGCCAGAGTCAGGTCTGATGTCCTGGCCCACAATGGACTGAACTTACTGGCTTCAGTGATGCATACCTGGACAGGGCTTGGCCTCCTGGCCAGTAAATTGCCCAGAACGGATCCCCATATGGCCACAGGTCAGGCTTTTCCCTCCAGAACCTGCAGCGAGGGGTGAGGAGGCGCAGCCGGATCTCTGGTGTCAGGTGCCCACTGCTGGTCACCTCCGTGTTCTCTTCCAAAAATGCTCTCACCTCAGGGTCCAGCGACTTGCCAGCACTCCAGTGGCAGCAGCGCTTCCAGCGCAGAGCAGGGCCTCCCCTCCTGCAGGCCTTGCCCAACAGCAGCAGCTGCTTCCAGCTGCTGAAGGCCATGTCCTCAAAGGCAAGCTCAGAGCACAGCTGGTTGGGGACAGCTAATGAGGCAGAAGGCTTGAAGCAAGTTCACAGCATGCTGTTTTTCATAGTGATGGGTTACGATTCCTGAAAGGAAAACAACACAAGTGATGTTTCTGTGGCTTCAGAACCGTGTACTGGTAAGGCTTTGGGGAGGTCCAGCTGCTGCTGTGCCATCAAGAACTCGCCATTTGCCTTGGGGAACCTACAAGGACAGCAGGAAACATGGTAACAAAGATGCTATCTATCCGGGACAGTGCTACAAATATACCCAGAGAGAAACAACGAGCCACTAAAAAACTAGATAATGTGGCCTTTTAACATCTCCCTCTGCCTTGAGGCGCAGGCAGAGCAAGCTGCTCCCATTTAAGGTTGTACCACAGCATCAAGTTTTGATAGCAGGGCTCTGGAATTACAGACCTATGGACACAGCAAAGACCATCAGTATGGTTTTTGGGAGATACCACTAATTTTTAGCTTTATCACAGAGATGACCTTATACGAAAATTATGTTTTTACATCAAAGGCAAGGATTTCCTCAGTGGACCTTCCTCTTTCTCCCTCAGAGTAGTCAGGCTTCCAGCTCCAAAATGAAAAACCAGCTCAAGAACCAACAGTGATCAGAATACTTCAATTTTTTGTACCTCGGGCTGTATTTTAAAGATGGTCTTACAGTGCAGAAGTCTCATGTGGATGCTCTCAGGTGCAGAAGAAAGTAAACCTCCACTATGGCAGCCCACTCCCTGTGAGAAACCACAGTGACACGCTCCAAGCTAACACAAGGGACAGCAAACTGAGTGCATTCCAAGCTGCCTTTGGAAACCAAGATATCCAGACTGGGCACAGTAGCCTTAGGGACCTGCTGATACCACTCAGGGCTGGTTTCCATGTCACAGGCAGTGAAGGCAAGGAAAGTGGGAGCACAGTATGTCATTGTGCTTCATGTGGCATTTCATGTGTGTTGGCCTATGCTTTAGTTTACAGAATCATAGAATGGGTTGGGTTGGAAAGGATCTCAAAGCTCACCCAGCCCCAACCCTGTGCCATGTGCAGGGCTGCCACCCAGCAGCTCGGCTGCCCAGGGCTCCATCCAGCCTGGCTCTGAGTGCCTCCAGGGATGGGGAACCCCAGCTTCTCTGGGCAGTCTAATCATTGCTTGCTGGCTTCCTAAAGCATTCAGCTGTGAACTGCACTCCCATAATGCTTACTGTTTAGGTCGAATTAGTTAAATCTTTAAATCATTGGCTGAAGGCTTTGTATTTTTATTGCAAACAAACACCCGTGACAATGTTTTTCATTGCTCCACGTTTCAGAATGCTATTCAGCAGAGCCCACGTAATTAACGAATGTAATTAACGAACGCCTTCCTTCTCCAAGGCGGAGCTACACAGGCCCCATCTGCCCGAGGGAAGCACCAAGTTAACCAGAATCAATGACACGCATAAATCTCCTCAGACAACTCCGCGCGTTGGCTTTCCCCACGAATTGCTGCAAATCAGCAGGGCTGATGAGGCAGCTTAAATTTCGCACCGCCCGTGCCGACGCCGAGCGGCGCCGCATTCACTTCCAGCAGGCACAAGCACCGGGCAGCGCACCCCGCGGGCCGCTCCGCCGGGCCCGGCCTCACCGCGCCGCGCCTCAGGGCCAGGCAGCGCCGGGCCCGCACCTACCTGCTGCTGCCGGCACCGCTCCGCTCCGCCCGCCGCGCTGCGCCACGCCGCGCCCGCCCCCACCCCGCCCCCTTAAAGCGGCAGCTCAGCCGTGCGCCTCCTGAGGAGCTGAGTTCTGCCCGTAGAAGCTGTGATGCCTCATCACTGGAGGTGCTCGGGGCCAGCTTGGATGGGGCCCTGGGCAGCCTGAGCTGCTGGCTGGCAGCCCTGCCCATGGCAGGGGGTTGGGGCTGGGTGGGCTTTGAGGTCCCTTGCAACCCAAACCATTCTGTAGCTCTCTGGCAGTCCTTTTTGTAGCTCGCTTCAAAAAGGATCTCCTAGGCTGGCTAGTTTTTAAGCCCAGATAGCACGGCCTCAGCTGGATCTGCCCTTATCTCCTAAGCTACGAGGCCATCTAGTGACCTGCTGCCTTAGCACACTTAAAATGTGCTCGCCGAGATGCAAAAGCATCTTGCAAAGCAGAACCTTTCATTGAGCGTGGCTTCGTGTAACCAGTGTCAGAGAAAGATGGCCAGGGCCCAGTGCAGCCAGTGTCTGCTATCGCAGGCCGGGGCCTAGCATCCACCCCACGCCTCAAACTCCAAGAAGGAAAACACTGAAAGCACTCATAATACCCCAAAGTGTACATTAAACGTGCTATTGAGAGGTCCCTGTGCCCTCTAGGTGCTCGCCTGTATGCTAGGAATGAAGAGCTCAGTAGTACAACAGAGGAAGCATTATCAACATCAGTGCGAGGTGCCTGGCTGTGGTGCGATAATGGCTTTATCACACAACGCACTACCTAGAGTGACATTAAAAGGCTCTGATAGCAGTGATGGCTGCCAGTCCTCTCACAAAGTCAGGGTAAGCCATTTAGACTCTCAAGACATGCTTGTGCTGATGACTTCAGGAAGGTATCAAAGCCTGTCCACCTTGAGAAAAAAAATCTTTCCTTTTCAAAGGTTTTTTGCTCTAGTTTAGGTAGTGACATCTTGAGAATTTCTGTTGATCAAATGCATGATGTAAGCTGCAAACGACTAACGTAACTATGCTGGAATTTGCTCTGAGAACAAGGACAACTTTGGTCACAGCATCGATCTGGTAAGTGGTGAAGAAGTACAACTCTTTCAAAAGGCAGTTGTAGAGTTGCACTTCAGGGACTCCTGTGTGTTTGAGGGAATTAGTGGATTATTGGTTGATGCTACAACTGCCCACGTCCTTGGGGAAATCTTGTTTGAACCAATTAACAGCAAGGAAATGGAATTGCACAAGGACAGAAAGCAGGAGTGAGTAGCCACCATCTCATCAAGAAGCTGATGACTCAGTTAAACTCAAGGCAAGAAAGACCTGCAGTGCAGCAGCCAGGTGATAACCTCAGCGTGTTCCTTCTCTCCTGATTTGTAGAACTGAAACTCCAGTCCCATTTTCCAGATCTCTTTTTGGAAGGCCAACCACTACAGCTCATGGAAGAACCTGAGTGGAAACCCACAGAAGGGCATATGAATGAACTTGGACTGCTATTGATTTCTAAAAAGCCTCTTCCTAACAACTCAGTATCAGCAGCCAGGATTTTGCACACAAGAATCAATTTGTGGTTAGCTGGAGGTGCAGAAACAAGTCAACAAAATGCAGCTGGCACATCAGCTAGTAGCTAAGGCATAGTTGAAAATGAGAGTTCTGCACAGGTAAGGGAGAGGAAATTGAATAATTCTGTTGTGCCTTCGGGTACAGCCCACACATATTCATTTCAGAATCACTGCGTCTTTTGCATTTGAGGAATAGATAACCTGACAAAACAAATCACACATTACATATAGAATGTCTGAAAGCACTAGGTGAGTTCTTCATAGGTTTACTTGTCCCACTGCCTTTTAGCTGCACTGGGTTAGGAGCAAGAATGAGCAGTAGCTGGCAAACACAAAGGCATCAGGTGCATCCTGGCAGGGGAACACAAGGTGCAGCATTTTTTGAGGTGAAAAGAGCAGAAGCTGTGTTAATCTATTCCTTGTATCAATGCATACTTAGTCTTCCTGAGATTAGGGGTCCCAGAGGTAAGACCAAAACGGTGGGAGTTCTCATTTGTCTGCATATGTAGTTAAAGCACACTTGGCTGCTCATATTCATGCATAGTCAGACAGGTGAGCATTTGTGTAGCATGGACAGTGTCTCAAAAGACACATGGAATCAGATTGTTTGTGCTTCTCTGTGTTCCCTGCTCTTAAAAGAAAGATGTACCTTGCTAATGCAGCTATGTGCTGCTCTGGATTTGGTTACCTGCTCCTGCAAGGATACTTATTTGGATATTTGTTTTGATATTAAAACTAGAGAGTACATCTTTTAAGTGTGCTTAAGTCCTGGTTTTTTTGTTGTTGTTGTTGTTTTTGTTTGTTTGTTTGTTGTTTGTTGTTTTTAACAGGTCTCCTTGAAAAACTGAACCTTAATTCCTATAGATCTCTTAAAATAATGGTTCTTGGTTGCAGGTCCCAGCAGTGTATTGCGACAATCAGCTAGCATGAGTGATACCTCACTATGGAGGAAAATTAAACAGAAACCAGCCCAGACTGGTGGGAATATCTCCCTATCAATGGAACCACATCCTGTACAAACAGGTATGCTGATGGTTTTTGTTTCCAGCATCCTATCTTGGATGGCCAGACCCTGGATTTCAGTGGTCTGTGGGAAGCTGTTGGGCATCTCCAGCTCTGCAGCTGGCCCAAGGTGGGACAGAGCTGCTCAGGGTAGGGAGGAAGGCCTGTAAATAGAGCTGATTGCTATCACAGCATTTAACTGTGGTTTATCCTGTTCTGTCATGTTCAGACTGTGCTTCCCTGCAAAGCCCTGAGAGAAAGGTGATAGAGCCTGCATGCAGAGGTGCTGCTCACACATGAGGAATCCTTTCCAGGCAGTCTGTAGCTTTCTAAGTCCTCCTGGATGAAATGAAGACATTCACCTATCCTTCCTGGCTTCCTATGATAGGAAAATCCACCCTACCTTCCTTCTCCTCGGCGCTGCCTTACAGCCCCTCCATTTGTGATGTTCCAGAGGTGATCTGCCAGTCTCATGGCTTCAATATATTTATTAGACCTTAGTGTTTCCCAGTCAGGACAAACAATGCCAAACAGGGCTAAGTCAGTGTTCAGTCTGGAGCAAGAGAACAGAAGAGCAGCTTGGGGTCCTAACATAACCAGTGCTTCCCAGGCTCAGCCCTGCTTGTTGCCAGGCAGGCTGCATTCATGAGTGTGTTCAAACCTATGACTAATTCCTTCTCTCTTCTCCAGGCAGAGTTACAGCTTCCTCCAGAAATAAACCCTGACATTGTAGTACATTTTGTTGTCTGTTTTTTGAGGGTGATGCTAACACACTGGTGCCAGGGATAAGATAAGCAAATAAAGTTTTCAAGGATCTGCATCAGTTCACTGGAGACAGTGGACTGCCTTGATTCTGCATTTCCCCAGGGCTAAAGTACTGCACAGAATGTTTCAGTTTCCTGCTGGATCTCAGAGCCTGGCATCAGTTGAACTCCTCCTTTCACCTTCTGTGGTGGTCGGACAAACATTTAGGCCCTTGTGAGGATGTGGGGACAGAAGAATTGATGGAGACCTGAGGCAGATGCAAGACTGTGTGCAAGCAAGTGTGATGCTTACAGGAGAGTTCCTGGGGGAAATTTTGCATACAATATATCTCCTCTTCTGGGTGATGTTTGCTATTAAGAGGGCTGTTCCAAAAATAATGCCTCCTGTTTTATTATATTTACAGATGTTGGTGATATAGCAGTAGAGGCTAAACCTTCCCACCAATATTCCATTACATGTTGTTGCCGTATGGCAGATGGCTGCAGAGGGGCAGTCTGACAAAATGCCATCTGACTTGGAATTAGGTATGAAGCAAAAGCATGCCAATGAATTCCTCCTTGAGGAAAAAATGGCACCCAGTGACATTCATTGACACTTGTTGAACATTTATGGAAACCAAACAGTGAATGTGAGCAAAATGAAGCAGTGGATAGTGCATTTCAACAGTGATGCCATCATTGCTGCTGTGAAGCAGCGGGTCAGCTCCACTTTTGCTGATTTTTACAAGTGTGGCATGCAGGCTTTTGTCCATCAGTGGTGAAAATGTATAGCTAGTGGTGGTGATTATGTTGAAAAATAGTGTTCTGTAGCTGAGAATTTGCTCTATCAGTGTTGTTGTGTTCTTTGTATCTGTCATAATTTCCATACAAATAAATGGGATGCATTACTTTTGGAGCAACCTATGTACATTTTGGGGCATTTCGGGTTCCTCAAGAAATTTAATTGTAAGCCAGGGTCCTGCTTTATCAGGGCAGCTTTGCTCTTTGCTATTTTGCACTTGGATCCAAAAGCATGGAAAGAAGTTATACCACTGCCCAGGGGAGTGGAAATACAGCTCTCTGCAACCCTGGCTGGCTCTCTCATCAATGTGTTGGGGTTTAAGTTCAACAACATCAACAACATCTTATGACATAAGAGCTACTATTTATGCACTGGAGGTACAGAATGGTCACAAGGCACTGGAGAAGGTCCCGGTATTTGGGCTTGTCATCAATGTTTGGTGATATCTACTAAGTGTTAGTTTCACTGGCTTTCCCGACTGTGCTTAGCCATGCAGGTGTACCCTCCAAAATGTGTTTGGCAACTCTATTCTTAGGATAAAGGCAACTCTTCCATTTTTGTATTGGCAGGTTTCAAATGCACGCCTGGCTGGATCCATGGGGTTTGCTTACAGAACAGCTTGAACTGAGGATGGTCTCTGTGTGCTTCCTCTCGAGCTGGCTGGGTACGTCAGCAGCGCACAGCGGTTTCTATCCTGGCAGATGATGTGATACAGTGTGCTCCTCACAGCACGCTCAGCCCAGAGGACCCCCAGTGTGGCACTAGGTGACCTCGCAGCTCTGTTTCTATCAGCTGAGGGGTTGGGCCTCCTGCAAACAGCTGCACCCAGCCCAAGCAGAAAGCAGCAGTGCTGCTGTGAGCATGCAGCACAGCCATTGTGTGCGACTGCAGCTGCTCTCTCGCCTTCAGTGCTGGACACTGGGAGATGGACAGCTCTGGTTTGTCCTGGAGAAAACTCCTGGGTCTGCACATAACGGTGGTGTTTTGGCTTGGAGTGAGGCACTGAGCCCATTGCCACAT